GTTGGTTATAGCCTATCACAGAAACACATTTGTTATGTTGGTTATAGCCTAGCACAGAAACACATTTGTTATGTATCTTTTAATGTCTACATTTATCTGTTTACCATTCAACTTGCTGCTGGAAGGCCAAGTACAGGTTTTCATCTGTACATTTCTGCTTCAACACTGGATGTGTTGTCGTATTAGGATTACAAGTGTACCGAAGCATATGTTATTCAAGCGATATAGAGAAACTCCGCTAACGTCAGAGGCTGATTTGGCAGTTAGTGTTTAATGGGCGCGAAAGGTCAGGTAATACTACAGGTAATGGCACCCTGTCCACACTACTATAGGGTGGGAATCTCCACAGTTTCAAAATTATGACCCACGGACAAAGTCCCCATGGGTGGAGCCAGATCCCAGGTTAGGGTTAACTCATGATTGCTTCACATTGAGAAAGACCAACACGTTTAAAGCCTCAAATAACTCGGAATTGTAAAGGCCAATAAAACAAATCTGTGTTTTTGCTAACCCTACTTACTCTAGTTTTTTGAGAAAAATCCTAATGTTTTTAATTGGCATTTAGTGACTGTTAAAGTCAGAACTCCTGCTCTATGTAAGCATAGTAACATATTTTCCAAAATATAACAAAATACCTCTATACCCTATTTTGTATGAGGATCGGAAACACAAGTAACTTTCGTTTGGCCTAGTACCTGGTAGACTGTAACAGAGAACACAGCCCCAGTACTAGTTTTTATTGGAGTGCAAATTAAAAATTAAAGTCCTCAAATGACCAAGAGTCTCGTTATGTAAATATAGCAGTTAATGAATTTTTATTAGAAATAAGGTGGTTTATGCAAGCTTTTCCTGATTGCAGGGGTTCTAAATATTCAAAATTCATACATACCGGTATATAAATATATTGCGAAAAACACGAGCCACACATCCTATACACTGTGTTTTTGTCGGTTTTCAGACGCACAGTATGGAGGAGAAAATAAATTTATATGATATTTAAAACACATACATACGGGTATATATATTCTCCATAAAGAATAATGATTAAAAAACATAGGAAGATGACGGTTTCAAATTTATCGAAACAAACTGTACAGAGTTTTCTTTTAGACTGGAAATTCCCTATCATCACACGCCATTGTTGAATTTATACCAGCGGTAGGACTATCAGCTTTTGTTAATATTACTTGTTCTGCTGAAACGATCGCCTGTTAATTGTCAGTGTCAACACTTGATTCACACCTGTTAATTGTCAGTGTCAACACTTGATCAACACCAGTTAATTGTCAGTGTCAACACTTGATCAACACCAGTTAAAACCCCTGATTTCAAGCAAATTATTGTCAACACTTGCACAGAAGGCTACTGCGTTGAAACACATGATAATGTCTGTGTCAACACCTGTTTAAAAATCCTGATTTAAGCAAATTATTATCTGAATAAACAAGAGGCCGAATGGGCCTGCATCGCTCATCTGGTCTAAATCTCACACTTGTAACCTTAAAAGTGATCTAAAATAAAGCTACAGGCAAAATATCAGTATTCATGACTATAATTCATTCAAAAGAACCTGTTAAAAGATTTAAAAACCATTTCACCCCTGTGACCTTAAAAGTCCAATAAGGTCATTATGTTGAACAAATTTGATAGCCCTTCATCTCAGGATACAACTTGCAAAATATCACCACCCTATCCTTTTGTTTATTAAGATAAGGTCATTTAAATGTTTACACATATTTGACCTTGAAAGTGGGTCAAGGTTATTCAAATTAAAAAGCTTGATAGCCCTTCATCCATGCATGCTACTTGCTAAATATCAAAATCCTGCACCATTTGGTTATTCAGAAGAAGTTGTTTAAAAGTTTCAAACATATTTGACCCCTGTGACCTTAAATATAAGTCAAGGTCATTCATTTGAACAAACTTGGTAGCCCTTCATCCCATCATGTCAAGGGCCAAATATCATCATCCTGTGCCTTTTGGTTTTTCAGAAGAAGTTGTTTAAAGGTTTCAAACATATTGGACCCCTGTGACTTTCAATATAAGTCAAGGTCATTCATTTGAACAAACTTAGTAGCCCTTTATCCTAGCATGCTACTGGACAAATATCAACATCCTGGGCCTTTTGGTTATTCAGAAGAAGTTGTTTAAAGGTTTCAAACATATTGGACCCCTGTGACTTTCAATATAAGTCAAGGTCATTCATTTGAACAAACATAGTAGCCCTTTATCCTAGCATGCTACTGGACAAATATCAACATCCTGGGCCTTTTGGTTATTCAGAAGAAGTTGTTTAAAGATTTTGAACATATTCAATCCCTGTGACCTTGAATATGAGTGAAGGTCATTCATTTGAACAAACTTGGTAGCCCTTCATCCCAGCATGCTACTGACCAAATATCATTACCCTGGGCATTTCAGTTATGAAGAAGTCGTTCAAAGTTATTAACATATTTGACCCCTGTGACCTTGAATAGCAGTGAAGGTCATTTATTTGAACAAACTTGGTAGCTCTTCATCCCAGCATGCTACTGGCCAAATATCATCACCCTGGGCATTTCGATTATTCAGAAGAAGTTGTTTCAAGTTTTGAACATATTTGTCTCCTGTGACCTTGAATATAGGTGAAGGTCATTTATTTTAACAAACTTAGTAGCCCTTCATCCCAGTTTGCTTCTGGCCTTGCCTTCGGGCCAGGTGAGCTTAAAACAACAATTCTGAAAATCATAAATTAGCTCATTCATGTAGGTGCCTGCTTTTGTCGCCATGATGTTGCTCAGTCAACAGCAGCATGAAAACAGCTCGGGAAAAGCGTGCAAATCCGGGCGATGGTTGCGAAGAGCTAGGCGTTAGTTTCGAAAATTTATGGTGCCTGTTAAATATGTTATCTATCGTACGGGAAAATGTTTTCCAGAGCAAAACAGATATCTTAAATCACAAAACAATGACAAAAGTTACGCTGCTTTCTGCAAACTAAAGAGGCCCAACCATGTTCTGTTCCAAGTCAAGGCGATATCGAAAACGAAAGTAAAGGAAATATATTCTTAGTTACAAGTGGACTGTCTGTGCATATCATTACGCGATACGACTATGTTATAATGTGATTGCGTGACTGTTTTTTATCACAATGTGCATCAAATAAATAAGTTACAGTATAGCAAACCAAAAACTATAGATTTGATGTGTATTACAAGTAGAAACAAAAATTATTTGCGGTAGCAAGGATCTAGGTTTTCAGCGGTCTCATAAAAGTAGTCATGGCTCCCCGACAAATCATTCATTTATTGAAAATCAGCAACACATTTTCCATCCAGAAAACAGGTTCTAATGGAAAGTATGAACAAGAGGCCCAAGGGCCTTAGCAGCCACCTGAGTTATATCATAAGTACTGGTAGCTTTATTTTATTGTTTAGATGTGATGTGGAAATCAGCATGTAAACTAAGTGAAATACAATACTTGTCATGTCATCAATGGATAAGAATTTGAAAATATTGGTAAATGTTCCCTTTGGGGCCCCGCTTTAGCCCCTGGGGA